CTGCTTCTCCCTCTGCTGCTTTTCCCCCCTGCTCATGCTTGCGCTCACTCGCTCTTGCTGAAATAAATAAAATCTTTAAAAAAATAAAAAGACAAAACCTTGGTCAGAAAGCAGACATAAAATAACTTTACAAATTGAGAGGGGTAAGAGAAGGCACATACAAGGATGTGTAATAAAAGTGGCAGCCTCTGTCCCCAGTCTTAGGGAGGGATAGGCGTGACAGCCATGGCTCTTACTCATGGTGAGTCCTGACAGATTATGCTAAGCAGTCCCCTGGTGATGGGGGCTGGCCAGGCCAGAAAGACCAACATTGTGGTTAGAGGGTTGGGACTTTGATCTAGGTGATACCCCTGGGGAGGAAGGGAATTAGAGGGGAGGAGAGCTGGAGATTCACGGCCTACATAATGAAACCCAAATAAAAACTCAGGACGCAGAAGCGGGTGAGCCTCCCAGGTTGGCAATACTCTGTGTAGTGTCTACACCAATGTGCCATGTGCTAGGAGGGTGAGGTGTTCTGACTCCACTGGGAGGGGACAACAGAAGCTTCAAGTGTGGGACTCTCCCAGACCTCTCCCTATGTGTCTTTCCCTATGGCTGGTTTGGTTTTTATTTTTTGCTATAATAAAATTGTAATCCTAAGTGTAACATGTTCCTGGGGCATCTGACTGGCTCAGTCAGAGGAACATGCAACTTGATCTCCCAGTGGTGAGTTCCAACCCCATGTTGGGTATAGAGATTACTTAAATAAAACTTAAAAAAAGATAAGTGTAGGGGCGTCTATGTGGCTCAGTCAGTTAAGTGTCTGCCTTCAGCTCAGGTCACCATCTCGGTCCTGGGATCAAGCCCTGTGTCAGGCTCCCTGCTCAGTGGGGGAGTTTGCTTCTCCCTCTCCCTCTGCCCTTCCCGCCCCGCCCCCCATACCATTGCTTGTGCTCTCTCAAATAAATAAAAGCACTTTTTAAAAAAAGTTGTAACATGGTGGCGCCTGGGTGGCTCAGTCGTTAAGCGTCTGCCTTCGGCTCAGGTCATGGTCCCAGGGTCCTGGGATCGAGCCCCACATCGGGCTCCCTGCTCCGCGGGAGGCCTGCTTCTCCTTCTGCTGCTCCCCCTGCTTGTGTTCCCTCTCTCCTTGTCTCTCTCTCTGTCAAATAAATAAATAAAACCTTAAAAAAAAAAAAAAAGTTGTAACATGCTCCTGAATTGTCTTTATAAATTATTGAACCTGAAGGAGTAGTGGGAACCCCCAAACTAATAGCCAGCTGGTTATAAGAGAGACCTGGAGCCCCCCCCCCAAATTTTTATCTGGGGTCTGAAGGCAGTCTTGTAGGAAGCTGTGCTCTCTGTGCTCTTAACCTATGAAGTCTGGCCTAACTCTGGGTAGCTGGTGTCAGAAGTTATTATAAGGGTACTTGCGGAAACCTTTAGCTGGAGGCTCTAACCTAGTCCAGGAGTCCAGGAAAGCCCTTCTGCTTATGTGATGATGAACTTGAGACCCTTTGGAAGACGGGAATTGGACCAAAGGTATGTATGCTTTTGCCTGGACTGGGGTGGAGGAGGGAGAGGAGTGTGGAGATGCATTATGTACCAAAGCAAATAATTGAGATTTACACAGAGTAACACAGAAAGCTTCTCCTTATGCACTGCAAACATTCTCATTCTTCTAGTTCCAAAACGTTGCCAGTGAACCTCAGCTGTTAGAAGTATATCCTGAGCCTCAGGTGTGTTGGAACAAAAGAGACTTGTCCAAGGAAATACAGATGACATGAGGCCTAGCACTCCACTCTCTTGAAAACTTGAACAGACTACATGGCCATTAGATTAAGACTCCTAGGGGCACCTGGGTGGCTCAGTTGGTTAAGCATCTGCCTTTGGCATGGGTCATGATCTCGGGATCCTGGGATCAAGCCCCGCATCAGGCTCCCTGTTCAGCAAGGAGCCTGCTTCTCCCTCTGCGCCTCCCCCTGCTCATTCTTTCTCTCCCTCTCTCTCACCCCCAAATAAATAAAATCTTAAGAAAAAAAAAAAAGATTTCGACTCCTGAATGAACAAAGAACTATCCCTGCGTTGTGCACAGTAAACATGAGGTAAATGTTCAGGTCACTCCTATGATATACCAGGCAACATGTTTATAGAAAGCAGTTACAGCAACATTTGCGCCTTTTTATCCCTTAACCACTCTACATTTTAAAACACCTGTTGTAAAACTTAAGCATAGAATCCTGAAATAGGAACAGCCTGGAACCCCCACACTTGTTTGTGAGTCAAATCATTAGTGAGTTGTGGAATACCCTTAGTGGATCATAACCAGTGTTTTTAATAATATAGAATTTAAAATATCAGAAAGCAGGGCATCTGGCTCTTGGTTTCAGCTCAGGTCACAATCTCAGGGTCCTGGGATCAAGCCCCGCATCAGGCTCCCCACTCAACAGGGAGAGTGCTTAAGATTCTCTCTCTCTCCCTCTCCCTCTGTCCCTCCCCCTGCTCACGCACTCACACGTACTCTCAAATAAATAAATCTTTAAAAATATACATATACCAGAAAGCAACATGTATAGTAAGGACCAATACATGTCAGTTAAACATATCCATGTTTGTACTGGTCGCAAAGTAAAGTTAAAGCTACTACAACAGATCGTAATAAAAAAGTATGAGAACACTGCTCTAGTCCATGTCCCTTATTTCACCAATCAAGATATTTAGATAAAGAGGTTGAGAGGCTTGTCCAACATCATGCACACACACAGCCAGAGCTGGGTCAAGAACAAGATGCCCCTACACTCCAGTCCAGGGCTCTTTACACAAAAACCTGGAGACCAAAAGGAGCACTCTATGTTAAAGACTAAAGTTATACAAATTTATATATATATACTGTAAATTATACACAGTATAATGGACACTAATATACACACTATAGGATACCCACAAGAAAATTCTATACCATATATACCCTCCATCTACAGTGATAGTCTATACAGGCAAAAGCATCTTTATGTAAGTTTAACTGGGAATATATGCAAAAATGCTCAAGATTATCAAGGAGTAAGTATTTACTAAACTATACTTATGAAAAACTATATTCTAAGCACCATAGAAGATGCTAAACATGAAATATCCAGTCTCTGGATATAGGAGAATAGAGCTCTGATTTCTACAATTTACATTTTAAAGAACCATTAGGTTTTCCTGGTGCTATGCCCAAAAGAAAGATTTTTTTAAATATCAGTAATAACTCACTCAATCCCCTTATTCACCTGATACACGTGGTATCATAGATTCTGCCTGCCTCAGATCAGCACCCCTGGATTTCTCCCACCCCCTTCCTCCTGGGCACAGATGCAGCTTGGTTAAGATTTGTGAGATGGGCAACAGCCATAGCAAGAACTTGAACCCCAGGGGAATGCAATGATATTCTCTCCCCTTATTGAACTTTATACTTTGTGACTTAATTACCATATTTTATCAGAAAATATCCTTTAAATGGGATTTTTTGAAGGACTGTTTCATTCTACTGCATGACACTAATTTAAGAATCACAAGTTTTCCTGGGAGAATATTTTTTCAAATTAAAAAACAGAAATAAAAGTAGAAATTTGCTTGAGACAGTTTGCCAAGGACTTCAGTAACAAGTTTAATTACTGGTTAAGAAATCAAAGCAACATTTCATAATATTCTTGGGTTAGTTTATTACTAGGTTGATGAAAGAAAATAAAAACCCAGAACTCCACTTTTCACAAGTTCAAGAGAAAGGGAAAAAAAATTAGTGGCCATTATATAACAGCGCTTAAAACCCTTTCTTCTTAGGGATTGGGATTCGTATTAGATTAGTATTTCGAGAGCACCTGGGTGGCTCAGTTGGTTGGGCGACTGCCTTCGGCTCAGGTCATGATCCTGGAGTCCCTGGATCGAGTCCCGCATTGGGCTCCCTGCTCGGCGGGGAGTCTGCTTTGCCCTCTGACCCTCCCCCCTCTCCTGTGCTTGCTCTCTCTCATTCTCTCTCTCTCAAATAAATAAATAAAATCTTAAAAAAAAAAAAAAAAGGTTAGTATTTCGACTCTGTCTAGGTCCAGTCAGTATTTTTTTTTTTTTTAGGTCCAGTCAGTATTAAGGTGTGTGTGTGTGTATAGTTTAAGTTACTCACTTTAGTCTCATCCCAACTAATTCTCGAAATAACCATGTGAAGTGTTAATTACATATTTCTAACTTAACGCTGATATATAACCACTAACTTACACTAATACATAACCACTAAAATTCTAAGTGTTTACCCTAAGTCTAAAATCTTTAAAACTATACATATATCAGAAAGCAACATGTGTAGTAAGGACCAGTACTGTCATGTGCAACTTTCAGGTCAGTTAAATATATCTGTGTTTCGGGGCGCCTGGGTGGCTCAGTTGTTAAGCGTCTGCCTTTGGCTCAGGTCATGATCCCAGGGTCCTGGGATCGAGCCCCACATCGGGCTCCCTGCTCCACGGGGAGTCTGCTTCTCCCTCTCCCACTCCCCCTGCTTGTGTTCCCTCTCTCGCTGTGTCTCTCTCTGTCAAATAAATAAATAAAATCTTCAAAAAAAAAAAAATATATATATATCTGTGTTTGTACTGGTCACAAAGTAAAGTTAAAGCTACTACAACAGGGGCGCCTGGGTGGCTCAGTTGGTTGGGCAACTGCCTTCGGCTCAGGTCATGATCCTGGAGTCCCGTCAGGCTCCCTGCTCAGCCGGGAGTCTGCTTCTCCCTCTGACCCTCCCCACTCTCATGCTCTACCTCATTCTCTCTCTCAAATAAATAAATAAAATCTTAAAAGAAAAAAGCTACTACAACAGATCGTAATCAAAAGTATGAGAACACTGCTCTAGTCCATCAGCAGAAACACATAATCATTGGTGACTAATCTGCCTACATCTTTAAACAAAGGCTTCAAAGGTGCTATTACAATGTGAATAAACTGAACAGGTTTCCACGTTTCACATGCACCATCCATAAAAAAACTCTGAAACTCAATTCGTGGGTTTACCATATTTTTATTACCAGTTTTTTATTACCATTACAAAATAATCTTTGGGTGGTTACTTCTGTTTTTTCTGTTTCTTAGTTTGTCCAATTTTCTTTTGTCCTTTCTTTTTCTTCTTAATGGTAACAGCTTTTTCTCCAATAAACAAACTTTTAGAAGGTCCTACATTTTTTGAAGCAAAATTAAGTCCCTGCTTAGGTTTAACGACATTCTTCAAACTGGGATTTGAGCTTGGTTTTAATTTTTCTTTATTAACAGAACGCATGACTCTGAGTTTTCTTCCCATCAGTTCAGAATTATTTAATTTCAGAGCAAGATGAACAGCATCTTTATTCTGCAATAAAAATCAATACATTAATTTCCACCAGAAATTCCTCTGCAAAGAAACTAGTAAAATTGTGACCTAAATGGATTAGAGCAATTTTCAAGCTTGCCCATAGACAGAAACCCCTCCCATTTCCACCTCCACGAGATTCGATCCCACGGGTTTCAGCAACCGTGCTTGAAGTATTGTTTTCATCATGCTCCTCAAGAATTCCCCCCCCCCCCCCAGCACTCAGCTGCCTGTCACAACCCAACAGGCTTCATTTTTCTCACTGTAAAAGGCAAGTTTCGGCCAATGACATTAGTCACATGAATCTTTTAAACCAATCAACCTTTCCTCTCCCAGGCTCTTTCTGCAGAAGCCCCACTGTGTTAGTTGACTTGAGAGAAGAGAACAGTCTCTGAGACGTGGAACTAGATGCCTTGCAGGCCTCCGTGAAGATCCCAAATTCTATTACTCTTTTATTGCAATATAAAACCACTAAATGCTAACAATCCTGAATATTCATGAGATATTTGTTAAGGGACTTCACAAACTTATCAAGTAACAGTAGACAGCAGAGAGACAGTAAGGTAACTCCAATGCAGTCACGATGGAAACAGCTATCTGGTAATAAAACATAGCAAGACTACTAAACATGGTCATATTTCTTTGATGAGGGAACAGAAGGCAAGCTGAGGACAAAGCACAAGCTGATACTCTGCAACCCAACTCCCAGGTGGGATAAGTGTGACATTCGTCAGGCATTCCTGGTTGCCCTTAAACTAAGGGAAGGCAATCCATGGAATGGGAGAAGATATTTGCAAATTACATTTCAGATAAAGGGCTGGTATCCAAGATCTACAAAGAACTTATCAAACTCAACACCCAAAAAACAAATAATCCAGTCACAAAATGGGCAGAAGACACGAACAGACACTTCTCCAAAGAAGACACACAAATGGCTAACAGACATATGAAAAGTTGCTCAACATCTCTTGGCATTAGGGAAATACAACCAAAACCACAATGAGATACCACCTCACGCCAGTCAATTTTAGCCATTAGTCAGAATGGCTAAAATTAACAAGACAGGAAATGACAGATGTTGGCAAGAATGTAGAGTAAGGGAACCCTCTTACATTGTTGGTGGGAATGCAAGCTGGTGCAGCCACTCTGGAAAACAGTATGGAGGTTCCTCAAGACGTTAAAAATAGAGCTACCCTACGATCCAGCAATTGCACTACTAGGTATTTACCCCAAAGATACAGATGTAGTGAAAAGATGGGGCACATGCACCCCAATGTTCATAGCAGCAATGTCCGCAATAGCCAAACTGTGGAAGGAGCCAAGAGGCCCTTTAACAGATGAATGGATAAAGAAGATGTGGTTCATATATACAATGGAATATTACTCAGCCATCAGAAAGGATGAATACCCACCATTTGCATCAACATGGATGGAACTGGAGGGGATTATGCTAAGTGAAATAAGTCAGGCTGAGGGCACCTGGGTGGCTCAGTTGGTTAAGCGGCTGCCTTCGGCTCAGGTCACGATCCTGGCGTCCCTGGATCGAGTCCCGCATCGGGCTCCCTGCTTGGCAGGGAGTCTGCTTCTCCCTCTGACCCTCCCGACCCTCCCCCCTCTCATGTTCTCTCTCTCTCTCTCTCGCAAATAAATAAATAAATCTTAAACAAACAAACAAAAAAAGAAATAAGTCAGGCTGAGAAGGATAATTATCATATGGTTTCACTCTAGCGCGGAGGCCACAGGGGAAGGGAGGGAAAACTGAACGGGAAGAAATCAAAGAGGGAGACAAACCATGAGAGACTCTGGACTCCAGGAAATAAAGTGAGGGTTACAGAGGGTAGGGGGGTGGGGGAATGGGGTAACTGGGTGATGGGTGTTAAGGAGGGCACATGTTGTGATGAGCACTGGGTGTTATATGCAACTAATGAGTCATTGAACACTACATCAAAAACTAATGATGTACTACTATATGCTGGCTAACTGAACATAATAAAAAAAAATAAAATTTTAAAAAATTTTAAAAAAAACTAAGGGAAGGGAAAAACAAATGGTTAACTGACTGAGATCACAGTCCTGCAGGACATGAGTGTCCATCAGTTTACAAATGTCTTATTTACAAGATAAAAAGCATTCTTATCAATAGCCTAATTTCCAGAGACCCATGGGCTCAATTTCCCAGAGCCCTAACATCACCACAGTGATGTGGGAAACAGAGGCAGAAAGGAATGTAAATAAAATTAAATTTTTTTATAACCTGTAGCCTATTGACAAATACTTGAGATAGGCAAAGTAAAACATTCCTCCAGAATGGACTCCAGGGAACTCTCAACTATCTTTATGGTAATGCCTCACTGGAGGGAAAAACAAATTCCCTTAGCTTAACAATAGCCAGGACTCCAGGATCCTGGGAGTCTTTTTTAGTGTCCTTTTGGACACCTCCTTTTGTCCTTACCTCCCTTAACTCTCAAGGATATAATCAGCCACCCCTCACACTTACAATGCAGCCCTTTCAGCCTTCCTGTCCCATGCTTTCATACAATCACCTTTCTGCACCAAAGACATCTCAAGAATTCTTTCTTGGTCATCGGCTCCTGACCCCAACACCAACACTCCAAAAACTACGTCATTTGGCTGCCAACGTGGGGCTTAGTTTTTTCATCTGGACTCCCGAGCTTCAGAGCAAACTTGCTGAGTAATTTCTCTTCTCTTCCTTTACTCTTGTTTCAGGGGTTTTAAAGGAGTACGGTCTTACTGGAACACTCCCATGCTGTTTGCTCAGGCTGCAATCCTCTAGCCCGTGGCTACTCTACCGGGAGGAGAAAGCCCTGCCTTTTGGCTAGAAGTTAGTACCCTGGCTGGAATGGTAAGAAGACCCAGAAACCTGATGCCTTCTCTTTATTCCTGTCCTCATACAAAGTCCTCTGTTTTGGGCACGGGACAGCCACCTAAGTGACTAGCACAGCTACCAATCTTAAGACTCCAGTGTGAGGTTTCCTCCTCATTGGTCTAATGTGAACCCCTCCACATCTCTGGTCTAGCTACTTCAGGCCAGGAGACCTCCACTGGGAGCTGGCCGAAACCAGTACCCGACTGAATTAAAACCCAACTGGGGACGGGTTTCCTAGAGAAGTTGGCTGTAAAGACTATATGTGTTGGAATGTCACTTAGATCATGATGGATTTCAATCTTTACTGTTTTCTGTCAATGTCCTCTATTAACTACTTAAATCACAAAATTGGGTAATTTCCCCCTTGTAAAATTGGTTTTCTAGTGTTTTCCATGGGTTAAAAATGGCAGGTTCCTCATGGCCTTCACAGCGAGGCAAACTCAGTCCATACACTAGGCACCCATCTATAGCCTAGGATGCAGGGGGGAAGCAGGGGGACGCCAGTATCTCCTACAGGGCCTTTTACAGCTGGCCTGCCTTCATGACAAGGTAGGATGGTGATCAACAGCGATTTTCATTTGAGGGATGCCTCTGGTCGCTATGACACCCAGAACCTCTGACATATCCTGGTGGGCCACCACCTGAGAGTCAGCCGAGGTGGGGGGCTGGGTTTGCAGGGTGTTTGTGCTTTGTCCTCAGCTCGCCTTCTGCTCCCTCATTATCTCAACCTAGTCAGTAATAGCCTGTTGGGAATCTATCCTAAAGAAGTAATCAAAAACTGCAGGCAACTATTTGAAGAAAAAAAAAAAAAACTACTTCAATTTCATTATTCAGGGAAAAAGAACACTGCAAATTTCCAACATTTGGGAAACATTAGGGAAAAGACAGTATAAATTATTTTACATCACTTGATGGAACATACTTACACAACAGAAAACAACACAAAGCAGGTTGCAAAGTATGCTTATATGTTCACAGACAGAAGTTCAACTATATAAAAGACACAGAAAAAACTGAAAGGAAATGTTTTAATGGGTGCTTGTAGAGGGAAGAAAAACTTAAGTGCCATCAGGTAGTATGTATATTCTAATAGTATGTATGTTCTAAAGCAATAGGCATGAAACATTGGGTAATAGTGAGCCAAATATAACCAATTTTGTACAAACACTAAAATTTTCCTTCTGCTTGCATGAACAGTCAATTCTTTTCTCCATTTCATGTAAGGTGGAAATTCAGAGATTTAATACCTTAAATGTCCAATATCTAACACATTATTTAATGACATTAATATGGAGAAAAAGGGAACTAGCATGTCTTTTGGTGAGGTGCAATTACAGGAACGATACTCTATTATGGCAGGGTAGGAGTTCAGGTTTCTGAAGATGGAATTTGAAGGTGACGGTGACAATTTTGTCTGAGTGATGAAAGAGCAGTGACAGCCTGTCCAGCACATTTCAGAGGACAGTGACAATGCACTAGTCTCCCATACCTCAAAGAGCACATAGCCGAACCCTCTGCCGATTCCAGTAGCTCGGTCTCTCACAATCCTTACTGCTACAATACTCCCACAATCCAAAAAATGCTCCTCAACCACAGATTCTTCAACTTCTAAAAACAAATTCAACCAAGGTGCAAGTAAGGACAAGATCGCCTTAGAAAAAGCTGGAGATGTTAAATAATACAGCAAGTTAATATAATATAGTTAATAGAGTAAGCCCCACGAAAATTAGTCAAGTTAACATTCTATGCTTTTTCATGTTAGTCTTAAAGCAAAACATTAAGTTACTACTCAGTTGTTATTTTCCTGTTATTTATTTTTTTTTAAGATTTTATTTTTATTTATTTGACAAAGAGAGCAAGAGAGCACAAGCTGGGGGAACAGTAGGAGGGTGAGGGAGAAGCAGGCTCCCCACCAAGCAGGGAGCCTGACGCGGGGCTCGATCCCAGGACCCTGGGATCATGACCTGAGCCGAAGACAGACGCCCAACCATCTGAGCCACCCAGGCGCCCCTTTCCTATTATTTTAATGATAAATGGGTACTTTATTCATTTAAACAAACTTACTGTATGGGAGATTCCCCACAAACACTGATCTCTTGTCCCTCTGAAACATAAAGAGGGTTAATAAAAATCACTGGAGCAGAAAATGGAAGTCATCCTAAAATCCACTCTTTCCCTTACCCGCCGTATCTGACGGGTCTCCATCTCCTGATCTGACTACACGCCAGTCCCCTGTTTGATTGTTTCTTCCGTCTTCCTCCCTGAAAGTGAGTGAGCACCAGAGGAAGTAGTTTTTTGTTCATAGCTAGCTCTTAACACATGGCCGTGCTCAAGAAGGGCATGCTAGATGGGCAAACTCTCTCTGTACCGGGCCAGACAGCAAGTATGTTAGGCTTTGCCGGCCATGTTCTAACTACCCCCCTCTGCCCATCATGGCACATTAACACCTAACCTAATGGGTATGGCTGTGTGCTAATAAGACTTTAAATAACACAGGCAGCAGATAGATCTGGCCCTCAGGATGGGTCAATGATAAAAGCCAGAGAGGTTTACCAGGCCTTGGTCATTTCTCAACTAGGTCACTCTGACACACAACTCTGATTCTGTGGTGAACTCTTATAACGCAGCCTTCATCCACTGTGAGAGACCTTTGTAAACTGCAAATTTCCTGCATTTAAACCTGTGGGATTGCTCCTGGACAAAATCCAGCCTCCTCAACATGGCAGACCACAGTCTTCATGATTTGGCCTCTCCTATTTCTCCAACAGCAACTCTTAACTGCCGCTCCTCCTCACACTCCACCTGCTCATAATTGTATCAAGCTCTTGCTGTTCCCTAAGCAAATTAAGTTTTGGCCCCCACCACATATACTGTTTAAAATTTCTTCGGCCTAGGTAACACTGACTCATCTTTCAAGTGTGACAGAGCACCTATTCTCCTGGAAGCCCTCCCAAGAAGTCCCTTCTTGCTGGCACGTCCCCAAGTCAAGTGTCCCATTCCTAAGCTGACAAAGCATCCTGTCTATTTGTCATAAAATAGTGTCACAACCAGCCCATCTGTCTGTCTTCACCTTTATACCATGAACCTCTAGAGAACTGAGACTATATATATCTCGGCACTGCATGCCTGACACAGGGTAGGGACCCAAAACCTGTTTAAAGAGCAATTGAACTTTCTCGATCTCAGTATATGAAATAAGGTATTGGCCCTGATGGATCTCCAACATCCTTTGCAGGCTACCTCTCTCTGATTACTTGATCTAGGGGTTGGGGTGGGAGAACCGTGTTCCCAGAAGCTGTTGGCTAAGGTCCTTGTACCACTCTGGGCACCAACACTGTGACCACACAGGGCAAAAGTGTCTCCTCCTCTGCTTCCCTCGCATTCACTGCTGATTCCACTCCTCTCCTAGCAAAAGCTCAGAAGAAAACGTTTCTCTCTCTGAGACTCTAAAGTTCTTTAAACAACTCAAGTACTACTTACAGATGAAGTCTCAGATGCAAGATCAACTCTAATACGAAATCCATCTGCAATTTGGGCACCATTTCTGTATTACAAATACGAAGGGGGAAGATGGCTGTTAAAAATGAGCACCAAATATTAACTGTAAATATTCAGTCTAAAGTCAAACCAAAGAATAAAGCATGTACTCATATATACTTAAATACAATCATTCTGTCCAAATCTCAAATAAGTAAAATTACCTTTTCAATGCTTTTGTAGCAGCGCTCTCGTCCTTAAACACAACATAAGCATTAATATTTTTCTGATCAGGATGAATTTTACGTCTATACAACAACAAAAAAAGACAATATAAAATTTGTTAATCTCAAAGTCACTGAAACAATACAGCTTGTTCCCTACTCACTCTCAATCAACACATACAACAAGAATTCCTAGGGGAAGCTTCATCTCTTTTAATAAACCTTTAGTAACAACTCAAAAAATAACACACAACTTTTTACATGTCGCCTGTGCCGTATTAGTCATCGATCACGATGAAAGAGCAAGCAGGACCTCCGTGCCATGCTACAAGGCTAGAAACGAGAATCTTAGCTGGAGCTCTGTACCTAAACACACATATAAGTAGATGTGACAGCCAACTTGATTTGTCCTTTTTACTGTAAAATAAAAGCTACCCAAACCTGTACAGCTTAGAGAAATATTAAAGACCAATACCCTTGCGGTCATTGCCCACCCCAAAAGCCTCTGTCTGTGCCTCCCCTCCTCCAAAGGTAACCACCACCCCCACTTTTACAGAAACCATTTCCTTGCGTGTCTGCACGGTTTTATCATTCAAATGTGTATTCCTTTTTACTTTATTTTTATTTATTTGAGAGAGAGACAGAAAGAGGAGCAGGAGGAGGGGCAGAGGGAGAGAAGCAGACTCCCTACTGAGTGGGGAGCCCGACATGGGCCTCAATCCCAGGGCCCAGACGTCATGACCTGAGCCAAAACCAGAGTCAGACACTCAACCGACTGAGCCACCTAGGCACCCCTGCAGGATTCTCCTTTTCTCTACCTTACTGTTCAACCTATCAAATATTCCAAAGCCTGGACTTCGTGGAGTGCAAGCCCACAGTATAGTTCAACGTGTACCTCTGTCCTCCCTATTTTCTTGGCAAATTGGCAGCCAGACCCAGAGGTGTGATAGGACTCAGACTGGACCCCTTTGTCAGGACTGGAGGTAGTGCTGTATTTTCAATAGGAAGCCTGCTATGACTGGTTTTCAATCTTTTTTTTTTTTTTTTT